GTCCCAAAAATATTTAGCCACGAGGTACCTGCTAAGCTGCCTGCAGGATGTTTATGCTCTAACTGAGGACAATAAAAGTCTAGAGCATAATGAGCCAGTAGTATTGTGGGGTGCCATTCCAAGCTCCCTCCATTACTGTGGCACTTATGAGACACATCTTGCTGTTGAATTAAGGCTTCTCACAGCCCAAATTGTTTTTAACTCTAGAAAGTTGCATTGACTAAATAGCGCCCATATCTAGAGGCAGCTAACATCTAATTTCTGGTCAATGATGAGGGGAAGGGGATACAGGCTCAGGCCCCTTGCCTCTATTCTGGAAGACTCTAAAAAAAACAACATCTGACTCCACAGCTCCCCAAGGACCAATTAATGGATCCCTACAAGTGCATTTGTGTCCAGCTTCTCCCTTGATTCAGTGCTGCCTCCCTCACTTCCCACCTGGACATACTGGTGCTGTGGCAGAGGGCTTTCCTCAGTAACTTCCTGCACCCCAATCTTGATCGCAGAGTCTGTTTCCTGGTAACCCAACCCAGGACAGCAATTAACATTATAAGATAAATATTCCCTAGTGTCAGCCATAGACAATATGTAATATTCGAGGTCCCTTTGAGGAAGACATGAGATCTGGTCATGAATGATACATTTAGAAGGGGTGTTGGAGTGGACACTTGTGAGGTGGGCAGCTTCGTGTCCTCTTACCCTGTCCCTTGTACCTACCCCCAAAGCATTGTTTTTCTCTCTGGCACTGTTTTTCTCTCTTGCACCATTTTTCTCTCTGATGGTAGTGTCAGTTTCATTATGGGGGGACCTTTTAGAAGAAATTACAACACTTTAAAAGTTATTAAATAATAACACTTAAAGCCCAGGTAACAAATGATAGGTCCAAATGGGAAGAAGGAAAAAAAAACAAAACAAAAAAAACTTCGTTGGCTCCAATAATGTTCCAATAAAATTATTGGGGATAGAAAATTGAGCTTTTGCAAGGGAGGATTAAGGGTGGGCTGCAGTGGGGAATTCCAAGGTTCACTTGGAGACATTCACTGGAAGTTTTTAGTCCAATTTGTGAAGGAGGGAAGAACTCTAGGGGAAATGAACTTGTCATCCATTCTTCCATTAGTTTTTGTAGTGTTCCCAGAAGCTTCTCTGTGATTCACTTTTTAGCAAAAATGGGTGTTTAGGAGTGCTGGAATGGTCACCTTAATGATATTTTAATATTTCAAATAGACTCAGTAGATGTGTATGTTTTTTCTCCATTTGTGTGAGTTTGATATCAATGAAATGCCCCTCTTTTCAGTCAAATAGTTAGTATTAGCAACTACATATAGTCCACTTGAAAACTCTACTGCTTAGTTTATTTTGAAGTCCCAGCACACTGTTTCCAGTTAAAAAGTGTTTATATTTAACCTCATTGTGAATTGAAAAGATGCAGTTTATGAAGCAACTATAGTTTATTTTTGCAAGCTCTATGTGAGGACATATATTACAAATAAAGTATATGAATAAAACCCAAGTTAAAATTTATTGAAAAAATTAAACTGTACTTCCTTTCCGTATTTATTATTTCCATTAATATTAAATTTCTTCTGCTTTGACATTTTAATAATAATAATAAAAAAGAATGTATAAATATACAGTTTGGTACCATGTCATTTCTGGCCAAATTGCCTGTTTTATGAATCTATCTGGGTAATTTTTGCAAATCATCTCGATGTTACCACATATTTTTTTTTATTCTTTTAAATATATGCCACATTTTCCTATGTTTCTAATTATGAGTGATTATTAGGTGACATATCTTTGAGTAATTTGTATTTCTTGTATAAAAAAGAGTGAGTACTCACAACAAATGGGCAATATAATATCCTCAATTATTTCTGTACACACAACATATTTCTGAAACCAGAGAAATAGAGATCTTTTCTGGAGATGCCATGAATTAATTAGAGCATGACTGTAATTAGGGTCATGTGTGTGTGTGTGTGTGTGTGTGTGTGTGTGTGTAGTATCTTTTATCCATTTCTGTCCTGTTGTTTTTCATGATTAAAGTTCAAAGTTTTCCTTTAGTACCATTCCCCTGCAGCCTGAAGGAACTACTCTACTTTAGCATTTTGCTTAGAGCAGATATCCTAGTTACAAATACTTTTTGTTTTCCTTCAACTGAGAATGTCTTTCCTGCCTTCCTTCCTGAAGATTGTTTCCGCAGGTTATAAAATTCTGAGTTTGGTTCTTTTCCTTCACAACTTTAAAGAAGATGTTCTACTGCAACCTGGTTTTCATAGTTTGTAGTTAAAAAATACGTGACTATTCAAATAGTTGTCCCTCTGTATCTATGTGACAGTTTTCTCTTGCTGCTTTCAGGAGTTTTGCTTTACTTTTGCTTTCCTTTAGTTATTGTGTGTCTTGGAATGGTTTTCTTGAGTTCATCTTATTTGGTGTTTGCTAAGCTTATTTAATGGTAAATAATGTCTTCACCAAATTTGGGGACATTTTAGCTATAATTCCATATTTTTTTGCACTAGTCTTTCTCTTTTCCTTTGATAACTCTAGTGGCCTTTTGATCCTCAGATTCCTGAGAGCTTATTCATTTTTATTTCAATATTTTGCTCTCTGTTATTCATACTAGATAACTTCTATTAATCTCTTCAAGTGTACTGATTCATTCACTAGTTATCTCTAGTCTACTATTGAGTCAGTCAAGTAAATTTTAAAATTTCAGTATTGTAATTTTTCAGATCTAAAGTACTTTCCATTTCTCCATTGACAGCTTTGCTTTTTTCTATTCCTTTTTAAGCTCATTTACCTTTACTTCAGAGAGTGTGGTTGTAATGGGTTTTTTAAATTATTTTAAAATATTCCAACATCTGGGGAATTTTAAGGTTAACTGTATTGTCTTTTCTCTTGAGAGTGAGTCATATTTTCCTGGTTTTTGTATATCAAGTAATTTGGTATTATATCCTTCTTCTTGTTAACATGCAGACAGTCTTCATCCATTCTATATATTGATTTCTTGTATATCTTTGATGAACCAACTAATCATTTGTGTGTAAATTTTATTTATGGTGGCATTTGTTGAATCTTAATTTTAATGCAGTTAGAACTCTCTCTCTTTCTTCTCTCTCTCTCTCTCTCTCTCTCTCTCTCTCTCTCTCTCTCTTTTCTCTCTCTTTGCTTTACAGTTTATATTGTTAGGTCTTGTTTTATAAGGCAATCTTCACAGAAACGGCACAAAGTTATCCCATATTTTCATCTGTTAACTTAGAATCTTACCTTTCATATTTAGATCTTTATTCATATCTCTGTGGCAGGGACTGTGGTTATTTAGCCAATTTTTCATTTGCTGGATAGCCTCCTCTTTCCTCTTGATTTAAGGAATAACGTTGATATTTATCAAATTCATATAGTTTTTTTCTGAGCTCAATATGATATTCCATTTGACTTTTCTTTCTTCTCCATAAAGAATCAAAGTTCCTATTTGTTTGTCTGTTTTAGTTTTAACTTATGAGTTTATAACACACCTTAATGTTTCTTAAGATACAGAAACCTCACCCACTTTTGGTCTTATTTCTTAAAATTTTATAATTGACCTAGCAATCAATAAACTTTTATTCTTCATGAGATATATTTTAAATAAGGTTGTTGACTTTTCAAAAAAATATTTTCACATCTATTTTTCAATATGTTTGTTAAAGGCCTGAAAATTTCTACACCTATTTAATTGAAATTACATTGAATTTACAAATTTAAATTTGGAAAGAATTGACATTTTTTATCATATTAAGTCATCTGATTCATGAATATGACAAATCTCTTTATTTATTCAGGTATTCTTATTTTTTTACTATTGATTTTTATAGTTTTATAATAAAGGTCTTGTGTCTTCTTTATTAAGATTGATTTTGAGATACTTGTATTAGTTAGGGTTCAACCTATAAGAATTGGCTTACACTATTGACTATGTATCTGGCTAAGAAAGTCTAAAATTTATAGGGCAGGTTTCTGTAGGAATAAAAAAAAAATTTGTGAAAACAGTCAGTTGATTATGGACTTTTAGCACATATGTAAACTTACACCAACATCTGAATTAGTATTTGATTAGATAGCTGGGGATTGTAGCCTAACCAACTGACACATTGGTTAAAATCATTACAATACAGTTTTTGTTGCTGATTTAAGTTGTGTATTTGTCTTTTATTTGATTATTGTTAATGTAGAGGGGCTGTATTGATTTCTGTAAGATAATCTTGTGCCTGAATCATTTTCTTGTATTGGCAGTAGCTTTAGTTGACATTTCTATATAGATAATATTATCTAAAGTAATTCCATTTGATCATTTTATGGGCAAATAATTCTAGTTATTTCAACTCTTTATGTTTTTCTTACCTTATAACATTGACCAATATACCCAGTGGTATGTTATGTGGAGCATATCAAGTGTCTTTGATCACTATCAATGCTGTTTCAGTTTATTAGAAAATACCTTTTTAAAAAATAATTTGTGGCTATATTTATAAGTAAAATGGCCTTATATTTTTCTTTCTTTTCTACACTTATTTAGGTTTAAAATTAACATTAATTTTAAACCTAAATAATCTATCTTTGTAAATATTTTAGGAAACTTGCCTTTTTTCTACTCTCTGAAACTATCGTTATTAGATAGGGATTATATGTTTCTTCAAAGATTGCAGAACTCTCTAATATAATTCCCTGGGCTAGGAGGTTTTTGTGGTTTCATTTTGAGGTAAAATATCATGATAATAGAAAAGCATGTTTCTTTTACATGGAAGTTTTAATCAATGTTAATTGTAATTTTTTCCAAAGGAAATAAGATAGCTTTTATCTTCAGACTAATAGTTAAGGGGTAATTGTTACACTTTCTATACTTTGAGTCAGATTACACAATAGACTATATAGAAACACGTTTTATGTGGAACTGTACAAAGGTGAGCATGAGTGTCTTTCATCTAAAGTTCTCTCAAAATCTCTCTGCTTTTGTCCCCTAGGACACACGGGACGGTTGTTAAAGTCTCTGTGCTTCACCAGTCTTTCCTTCCTGATATTGCACATCATTTTTCACATCACGTTGGCTAGCCTTGAAGCTCGACACCATATTGCACCTGGTTACAACTGTGAGTACTAATGTGTTTTGGATTATGTAAGTGCATAATAAAGCTATGTGTCCTAACTCTCATAGAAATCTATGTAATAATTATATTACCAAATTCATGACTTTTTTGGTCATTTAGCAATCCCAAATATTATATATACATATAGAGACACTTTGTCATGGAGAATTGGGTAATACTAGCAACTTAATTAAATGAATCTTCAATGTATATTAGATATTAGATCCCTATCTGTATGTAAGATATTATCATTGGGCATAATCCCAAAAAGTCAGCATTTACATATAGTTCCTGGAGCTTACAGTACAGCTAATGAGACAAGACATGTGTAGTTTCTAACATGATAAATAAGAATATATAAAAGTAGAATACCATTTTACCATTTAGTGGCCTAAATCCTATTCTGAAGTATAGTATAAAAAATATTTTATATGTCTTTTTGGGAAAAATGTAATGACATACAGTTTCTCTTTCAAATTGGGAGTTCTTTGTTTCTATTTATAGGAAAATAGTCTTACATGCATTATATTTTGAAGTGGTGATCATAAAAATTCAACACGTATATGCTTTATCTAAATACTATCATCTTTCCAAAATTAACTGGCCATCAGTTCAATTCTACTTCAGTTTTTGAAGAATGTATGGTTGTGATTTGAAAAAAAAAGAAGCATTTCAAATAGTTGGAGTGTTTTAAGTTAAGCCTCAAGAAAGCCTGAGATAATTGAAATAGACTATAATAAGTTTTCAATTGTCATTTTTTCTTTGAAGAAATCATTTGTGAGTTTGAAATTTCCTGATCTTCATAAATACAGGTATAAGTAATTTGAAGTAAATCTATGCGTCCCTGTAAAATAAGGTCAAAATTCTTTACAAATTAAGGAGTTTTAACATATTCATAGTGAGAGATTCTTTAGTAAAACCATACTTATAAACTATTGAGTAACTCTCACTGGACAACTTGAGAGAGCTAAAGTTTGTATTCATTTTGGTCATTTTATTTAGTTCAGAGTTTTTATTTTATTTTATTTTAGATCTGGTTATTATTTAAAAAATTGAAATATAATTGATATGCCATAAAATTCATCCACTTGAATAATGTAATTCAGTGGTATATAGGTTGTGCAATAATCACCACTATCTAATTCTAGAACACTTTCATCACTCCAAAAAGATACCATGTGCCCATGAACAGTTACTCCCCATTCCCTCTTGACCCATTCCTAAGCAGCCACCAATTTTCTTTCTTCTTCTATTAGATTTCCCTCTTCTGGACATTTTATGTAAATAGAATTACACACCATGTGATATTTTGTGTCTGGCTTCTATCTCTAAGCATAATGTTTTCAAGGTTTGTCTATGTTGTAACATCTTTTAGTTCTTCATTCCTTTTCAGTATTAAATAATAGTCCATTATTAAGATGTGGCTTTTTAATGTTTAGTAGAAGTCACTTCATTATTAAAACTTTATAAAATACAATGTTTAAACATAAATAGAACTTGCAGTGATAAAGAGTATTTATTACATTTGGCCAGTTTCAAATCATTGTGGACTTATAGAAATGATATCAGTGGTATTTTGTACTGTTTCTCATTTAAAAATCATTTGTATATCTATATATATAAAAGCCCAAGCGACCGAACGACTGAACAACCAATCAACCAAATGACTGGTCAACCAGTTGCTATGATGTGCACTGACCACCAGGGGGCAGAGAATCAAGGCAGGAGCCTTGGTGGTCAGTGAGCTTCCATAGAAGGAGAGCCACTCAGGTAACTGACCCATCCTGGTGGCCCAACAGCTTAGTGGCAGCCTCTCCCTCCCTCAGTAGTCCTACACATCCAGTCTCTGGAGAATGGACTAGGAACCCATGGATCAGTGCCACCAGCACGATTCCAACAGTGCCACTGGCTCAAAGGTACCTTGGCTGCTTTCCCTCCCTAGACTCTGTGCAAGGAAGAAATTATATAAAAGCAGCTGCCAAGTTGCTCCTGACAACCAGTGTGAACTTCAGTGGGATGGTCCAGATTCTGGGCCAGCAAAGGCATCCCACTGCTGGCCCGGAGGGCCAATTGCATCCTGGCCCTACACCAACCCCTCAGAATGGGCGCCAGACGCAGGGCTCATAGCGGCTGAGCACTGCTGTGGTGGTGAGAGCCTCTCCCGGTCAGGACTGACTGGGTACCAGCCCCCAGCAGGCACAGTGGGGCCAGGATGAGCTGGAGTGGCAGGCTGGAGCGGTAGGCGGCATTGGACTTTTGGTTTTGGCCCAATCCCCTCAGGCCATGCCAAGGGACCCAATTCGTGCATGCATTTGTGCACTGGCCTCTAGTCTCTTAAGTCATTCCCAAAACTATAAGGAAGAATTTTGAATGAAAGGCTAATTCACAAATAATGAGTTCCTCATCTCATTAAATACTGTGAAGTATTGAATCACAGGTATATTTCAAATAATCATATTTTTAACATTTGAGTTTATAAATATATATATTTTGCCTGCTTTTACGAATAATTTTAGGTGCTGAGTGATATTGTAGAAAGGATTTAATGGCAGTTTCTATATTAGAAAGTGAAATTCATAATTTCTTCTGATTCAGAGCGACTACGAATTTATATTCTTATTCAAAAATGATGATTTTCCACAATTCTACATGAGTCAAAATAAAAAATGTAATCTATAATAACAAAAGTGTAATATGCTAATTAGACCAGATGTCCTTCCGGGCGTCCTTTTGGACGACCTTCCAGGCAAAGCCAGGTTGCAAGGGAAGCCTGGGTCCCTGGTCCCTGCTGGTGGCCGGAGGGAAGCCCGGGTCCCCATTGCCAGAGGGAAGTTGGTGCCAGCAGCTGAGGGAAGGAAGGCCTACTCTTGCATGAACTTCATACACCAGGCCTCTATTAAGTAATATTAAAACAATGTTCCCTTTCTTACCTTTATAAATGTATTTACCCTGCGTAAGTTCTCCCCTATAGGGTCTAGACAGACAGAAAGACATATAGACTTTAACACACACACACACACACACACACACACACACACACACACACACACAGTTCTTGCTTTATCTTCGTCATCCCAGGCAAGGATTCAAATTACTTAGCTACTCTGGATGGGTCCTACATTAATATCATGAAGAAGTCTGTATTTCTCAGTGGCGAAGGTGTAGGCATCTCAGGTGCAGTCAGTGCTAACCTCCTGACTTGCCTCTTCCTAGGCATTCCTTGCAACTTAATCTTGGGCAGTTAGACTTGCCTCTTCTAACCTCACAACCTAAATATCTGGGCTTCTACATATCAATGCATTTCCTGCCTGTCTCAGAGATATTTTGGTTCATGCACCATGGCCCTCTATTGTTATTCTTCATGCAGCATCACTTGAACATGTCCAAAATGAATGTATTGTCCTACCTTTCTTGCTTGATTGCTTCATTGTTCTGTGAAGAGCCAATCTAATAAAGTCATGAGAGAAACTTTATTTCTACCAGGTTAGATTCCATTTTGAAGTTCTTTCTACAAAACGTAATGTTCCAATTTGAAATTTTGGTATTCCTAGTGAAGTAACTGAGAGAGCAGGGATGTGCTAAAGATTGAGTTCGAAAAGGGATTTGAGCTCTTTACTTCCAGCCATAAGCACCTTGAAAGTGGGTTTACAGAAGTCATAAATTGCTTTTGAAAAAACGAGTGATGCACACAACAGCATTGGCTCATTGGGTGTTAGAGATTTTTTTGGGGGTTGGTTTCATGTGCAGCATTTAAAAGTGAAACATTCTTGAAAATGGATAAAAGAGAAGGGCAAACAAACCTCAGAGCTTTGCAAACTAGTTTGGTCCAAAACTGACACAGACCAGGTTTTCAGCCTAGAGCATTTTTTTTTTAATGATCAAGTTATATAAAATCCTGAAAATACTGTTAAGAGTGGGTAATGGAAACACTGACTTTTAATTTAGAGTTGACTTCACCTCACTAATGTTATTGTTTCTTAAGCATTTGGAGTCTCGATTACACCATCAGAGTTGTAAACACAAACTCGGCCATCCCACATTGGAAGCTTGGTTTCTTGGTGTGGGTAGATGTCAAGTAGCAACATTTCAAATGAAAAGACAAAAGGCATCTTGGCCAGCGGTGTTGGGTATTTTGAATGCTTTCTCTATGTTGAAGACATTGGTAAAATAAAGTGAAATAACCCAGACAGATTGGGTTTCCCAGTCCTATTCAAGTGGTATTCAAATTCAGGACCACTGAGTGCTCATTTATATGCATTTAATTTTGTTTTCCCAACTCCTCCTCTCCCCACTTAAAACTCGCATACCCTCTGCTTTATTATGGCCAAAGCTCCCAGTATCCCTCAGGAATCAAAGACCCATGTTTGGGGGACAACAGTAGCATTTATAAATATTGAGTCATTGAAAGTTCTTGTTCCCTCCAGAGCCCTGTGAATATTAACTGGCAATAGTAAAGACTTTCTCAAACCCGCCTGTTTAGTTTTTGACTGGCTGGCAGGTTTGTTAAAGGTGCCATTGTGCAGAGCTGAAACCTAACACACCTCCCCCTCTTTCTCTCTCTCTTTTTCATTCCCAAACGGTGCTCTCACAGGTAAGTGAGGAAATCGATGGGGCAGGGGAGACCACTGTAAAATTTCCTCCAACATATGTTGTGTCGCTTGCTAAAATATTTTCATTCCATCAAAACTATGCTATTTAAATAAATGTAAACCCGGTCTCAATGATGTCATTACAGATTCTGTAGAGGTAGTTTGTCTGACTGAGTGGTGAGTGTGTGGCAATGTTAGTGAAATTTTAAGGCCGGTCTGGATTCTTGTGCCAACGCGTGTTACTGATTGAAAGGAACTTCTGAGTTCAAAACTATAAAGGAAAAATTCATGGTGATAATAGCTACTATTTGTGGAGCTCCTACCAACTGCAGGGCCCCCGGGACCATTACATTCCTTTTGCAGTTAATGGCTATGCTTTTCTAGTTACAAATTAGCTTCGATATTCCTTTAAGT